AACTTAGGGAATTTTGCGCACGACGCTGGTCAGCGGATTGTACTGAACCACACGTTCATGTATGATGAGACAGTACGCAGTGGTATTCACTGGCACATTCTCCTTACACTCAAATTCCAATCTCACGTCCACAGTCGCGCTCTTGACTGACTCGTTTTGTCGAGAGCAATCGATAATGACAAACGGTCCTTGTTCTAGAAAATTGTTGGTAGTGAGACCGGGCATAAGAACCTCGTTTCCGAAATAGCTCTTCCGGAACCGCGAATACGCATCATACAGACTCGACCATTTGCTTTTATCGAAATCCAGATTCATATCATCGTATGGATAACATTCCGAATTCAGATAGAGTTTCACGTTGCACAATTTGCAGTGACTGAATTGGCTCACATTCTGTGACATGATATTCTTCCGACCTGTTTGCAGAGCAAAGATAAGATACCGCGGCTTCTCGAGCTGAGTAGCCGTTTTAATAGCCCATGAATATTTAGTCGTTGCAATAGCGGATATTCGTACAGATCCCATGAACGAAATCCCATATTGAGGTATTGTCCGCTTTCCAAAGCACGCAGCATCGACAGTTTGTTCACCTCGTTTAACAATACATTCGGCATGCGCCACTGTATCTTGAATATTTCAAGTTTAGGCTCCATTGCTGCATTTCCAAAGAGACAGTTGTTATCATTGCGCGATCGTATTAAAATCAATTCGTGACGGGCGTTAATCACCACGCGTTGATAATCTTCACAGAATCCCAATAGCATGCTGAGCGGCACACAAAAATTAAAGTCTCCGGTTCCATTGTTCACCACATCCCAGCCGGCATTCTTCAGAGACATCATTTTATCGAACGATGACGAGACGTAGGTCTTGAGCGTGCTGGTTATTCCAACATTTCTGGCACGATCAATCTCCACACCATCAAGTTCATATCGGATCTCGTCGAACATGAACGCGACACAATTATTTCCCAGTACTACATCAGATCCTTCGATTTGTTTTGTAGTAGTTAGTTTTCCCTCGATGTACAGAAAACTTTCGTGTGGCAACGTATAGAGATCCTGTTGTTGTATAGGTATTCTTATCTTATCGCTGTGTCCGAATGTAGTGTTGGCAAACGGATTGTACGAGTGAGTCTCAATCTTGGCGATGCGCTCGTCGAAGATTGGCTCTTCGTTGATATTGAGAATGTCAATCATTGTTTGCGCACTGCGAATCCCAAAGAGGTTAAAAATTCCACGTTCGATACGTTGAGCTTCTTCTCCTTCTTGCAACAACCAGACGACTGGATATCACCGAATCTCGATGTCGCAGGCTTGGTGGTATCTTTTACAATTTGCTCCGATCCGTTCAGCACGAGCATCTCATGCATACTCGCGCGCGTTATCGCTGTCGTCGGCGTACGTGCAATCTGAGGGTGATTTCTTCTCCGCGAAAGTCGAGCAATTGACTGTTCTGATCCACAACGCGTACCGTTAAATCGGTAATGCTCCGTGCGATGACTGGCAGGTAAATGATCTGCATCGGCGTTTCCGATATCTTATATCCTGGTGACACGTTCGGCGAAAATTCGTGTATCGTGTGCACAGGCTTGCTGTTGCTGTACGCACCCGCGGTCACGTTGCACTCTACGCGAATAATGTTCACATTGGTAATGTTGACCGGCAGGTTTGATTCATGCCTCTTTCGCGGTTGCAGTATACGCGTCGATGAGAATCCCAGTAGCGATCCAATGTTGTTGGGCTTGCTAGAGGTTATTCCGAAGGCGCATTTGATCTCACTTCTCATCGTGTTGTAATTAGCGCGGAACACAATTGGGTATTCATCGTCTTCGTCATCACCATCGTCGCGTTTTTCACTGCCATCATTAGCTAGGAACCGACGTGGATGTTTCCATGAAAGTGCGCGTTTCAAAAATTCATTTATGGCCTGCAATTCATACGATCCTTCGGGAATTGTAATTTCCGCGTCGTCATAGTAAAATTTATTGTTCGAAGCATTCACATTCGATATCGTATTGTAAGTCTCAAAGTTCATCAGACCGAGCTCGTAATCGTCGTCGCTCAGGTCTATGGCTGGAAAATAGTTTACAGCGAGCATGCTGCTCTTTCCCGTCAGCGTGAGTGTTAGCGACATGGTGGATGAAAAGCTGTTCAGCGAATACTGACTCCTCGCGAAGCCTTGTCGAGCTTTTAAATTCGCACGCGTCAATCGTCGACCGTTTGGAGAAATCGTAGACACAGCTGTCCACAGATGCTCTGATCGTAGGTCTGATGGGATGTTCGATTATACACAGTCGTTGCATCATCTCCGAAATACCTCACCAATTCTTTAGGCGGTCGGAGATTACCAAAACTGTCGAAATATACCACACAGTTTCCCCTCTTCGCGTACGCTACCCAGTGAGTGCCGGGTCCCGCCGCGTTGTCCAGATTGACGATACCGCTCTCGTTTCGTCGTACTCCGCTTATCGGTAACGCGTTTCGCATAAAGACGCCTCTAAAGTACGGTATGTGCACACATCTTGCTATTTGATCTAATTGCACGTTCGTTGTTACACCTGCAGGCATTTTTAATGCTTTTTTTGCTTTTTTTTCCTTCCTTGTTTCGTTACACCTCGTCCACGTTTGTATGGAGCGAGATGCACTCCGCGACCTTCCATCGCGCGATTGTGACGCTGCAGCTCCTAGAGTTGACGTTGCGCAGCTTTGCTGTCGCTCACAGCCTTCGCCACGCCAGCTGCTCCACCGATCATGGATCCGAGCACGCCCAATATCGGTAGAAGTGGTAATACACCGCCGCGTTTCGCTACCGGAAGTATTCGCTTCTTTGTTGCTCTTTTCTTCTTTGTTTTCAAAACCATACCGATCTTTGTCTTGGCTTTCATAGCAGTCCAAACAGCTGTAGCGGCAGCTCTCTCTCCAAGCGTTGAATCTCTGGCGAAAATGCGTTTCCGCGCTCTCTCGGCGAGGACCTTTCCCGCCACGTGTCTCTCAGCGAGTTCGCTACTCCGAGAATATGCAATGTCGTGCTCGCAGCACGCCGCGTCCAATGGATTTATCCCTCGATCGCCTCTCGCCAATCGTTCTTCCAGACGAGTGCCTGGGCCACAAAACTGATAATCGGGGATATGTAGCTCGAAAGGAAGCGCGTTTATCGCGCGATTCAGCAGACCGCCGCCACGTTTTACCGCTGTTGCCTCTGCCAACATTCGTAGCAATCCTTGATCATCGGCGCGGGACCGTCGATGTGCGTCCTTTGCCACGGCTGATTGTAATGCTCGTAACAGCGCCGATAAGTCTGAACCTCCGAATCAGTCTTTATACGTTCTGGATGCTTATCCCACAGGTAGTGGACGTAATCGCCACACACTCGTAACAGAACAGTTTTTGGAAAAAACTGCAACTGTTCGACGTTTGAATCACAGATATCGGAAGGACTTGACAGCAGGACAAACATTTTCACTACTGAGCGATTCGTTGTATCGTGCTCGTATCGTCTACTGAACGGTTTCACGTGCCTATAAATAGGCGCTCGATCTCGCCTCCTACATATCAGTGTGAAAAATGAATTTCGTGCAGCAACCGTTGAAGATATGCGTTACGAATTGTGACAAGTTACGGTTGATGGGGGACAATGTGGAGAAACGCAAGCATGGTGCGCTGCTACCGACTAGTATACGCGCGATCGTGTGCGGCCCCTCGAATTGCGGAAAAACAAACGTTCTCATAAGCTTACTGGAAAGTCCTAATGGTGTGTGTTTCGAGAACGTGTACGTGTACTCAAAGTCGCTGCAACAATCGAAATATCAGTACCTGGAGCACCTGTTGGCGTCTATCAGCGAAATCGGATACTTTACATTCTCCAATAACAGTGATGTCATTCCACCGAGCGAGGCGCGTCCGAACTCGATCTTCGTCTTTGACGACGTGGCATGCGATAAGCAAGACGCGGTGAGAGAGTATTTCTCAATGGGACGTCACTCGAGCGTCGACTGTTTTTATCTCTGTCAGACTTACGCGAGAATACCGAAACATCTTATACGCGACAACGCGAACCTGCTAATCCCGTTCAAACAGGACGGCACCAATTTGAAACATGTGTACAACGATCATGTGAATACCGACATGTCATATAATGATTTCTGCGCATTGTGTAGCAGTTGCTGGCTAGACAAGTTTGGTTTCCTACTGATATACAAGGACAGCACGCTTTCTAATGGACGATACAGAAAGGGATTTAACGTGTTTGCAGTACCGCGAACCGATTAGTCGTTGTCAGTATTCCGTTGGGTGAAAAGCGATGGCTGGGAGCGATGATATTAGCAAGCGTGAAAAGATTGCGAGAGAGATCGCAAAAACGAGCGAAGCAATTCGCAAGAAACATCGCGCTTTGAAGATTGGTAGGATCGATGATATCGCGGTGAAGACGCACTTTAGACCAATCATCGAGCCGTTGCAACAGATGGCTGACAACTCCAACGGGGTATGCGCGATAAAAGACGAGCCGATCCATGACATGGGGATGATTGATACATCATTCGACTACAAGGACGAGAAAGATGCTATACGGCGACAGAAAAAGAGGGGGGAAAAACGGACCTCGTCGAATCGCCCGTTGATCGAGTCCCCCGAATCGAAACATTGTAAATTGACAGATGTATCGTATGAGTTGGAAGCACCACCGATAACCTCTACACCGTTGATAACCTCTACACCACGTGCGACGGCCATGCGTCCAATGGTGGTGACTCTTGGGTCTGGGGATGTTTTCGAAACCACTGGGGATTCGCCCCCGTCAGCCGTTCAACGCGAGATACAAACGGAAGAGGGTCAAGCAGCGTTGCAGATGCATCTGGGTCCGCTGAGCCAAAAATATATCGAGGCAGTTCTACGCGGACCACCTGCCAAAAAGAGTGGTGTAAAGAGCAACATAGATTTCGTATACGGTGTTCATTTCGACAAGGATGGAATGAGGCTCGGCAGTAAACGGTTCGATGTAGACAGCAACGATAATATAATTCTCGACGGTATGCGATACAAAGGTACGCCTGGTCTTTACGAGCTGATTTTCAAGAGACTTCCCGACGATGAAGTGTACACAAAGGATGATCTAAACAAGTACAAGAGCATACTTTTGGCGACGAATGCGCACAGGCGCAATTACAGCGCGCAAGGTCAGAAAATTGGTACCAGAGGGCACAAGTACAACCACATAATCGCGCCGTTAATGCTGGACGGAGGAATGAAGACTCGGTCCAGGACAAAATCTGGAAATGGATTACCTCACTCTATGGCACTAAACGACAATGCGATCGATTACGTGCACTGGGACGATCCCAATGAGCTTGTGGATCGCCTACGATTGCTCGATGCTTCGCGCCGAGCCGGCCACAACGCTCACGACAACGAGATGCTATCGATTATCGAGGAAATTCGCGAAGCTGGTTTTATTATAAATTAACTCACGTATCATTGAAATGAATCAGTCGATTGGTGTCGCTCGCGTTGATAAAATGCCTATCGACAAATTTGGAGTATCCGAAGGGAGAAGAGATACAACCGATAACATTTCATACAATCGCTGGAGCGGATTGATGAGAAGTTACGTGCATCATAACGCTCTCTGTCGCGCTGCTACGGATTTCGATGCAAGATCATGCAAGATTCGTCGTGTAGCGCAACCTGAGGCTGATACCGACGCTGTAAACAAACTGTACGTGGAACAGTGCGTTGTAACGTTGAGGAAAGAGTCTGATGAGAAGCTGATTGCGTTGGAGAAGAACCTGCATGCTTTACAGATCGCTGTAAACGAGCTCTGGCATGCAAATATCACTAGATTAGAAACGGTTAACGAGCGGCTATCGGATAACGATGAACTACAAAAACGGATATGAATGGCTATTGGATGACGACTGCAATCAGAAATAAACGGGTAGGGGACACTCTATATTTCTGAAACAGGTCTGTATTTCAGAAACAGATCTGTAATTTGGGAACAGGTCTGTAAATCAGAAACAGGTCTGTAAACAGATCTGTATTTCGGA